CTTACGAGGTGTTTGGGTCTGAGCCTCAGTTTCTTCCTCTGTGAAATGGGGATGATAATTCCTACATCCTGAGGACAGTGTGAAAAGTAAATGAGATTTCATCTATGAAAGTCAAACATGGAGAACAGCTGCTTATTACTACTATTATTACTACCATTATTATTATTATTATTACATGTTAATGTCACCGCAGAAATAGAGAGAGAGTGGCATGATGGAAAGGCACTATTCGGGGTGAAAGGCAGCCTAAGTTCAAATCCTGGCTCAACCACTCGCCGCTGTGTGACCCAGCAGGGCTCACTCCACCTCTCTGAGCCTCATCTGCAAAATGGGATCACTGACAACTACCTGGCAGTTTGCAAGGTTTAAGCGAGATAAGGTTTCAGTGTGCCACTGAGGAGGTGTTTCAAAGAAGAGACTTCATGAAGGAAACACTTACAGAGCTGTGAGCTCAGTCAAGGGAACAAACGGGATGTTGAGTCCTGCAGAGACCAGCAGCAGACCACCGCAGGACCAAAGGGACAAAGAGGAGGGAAGGGTGTTTCCCGAACCCAGTGAGGGACGGATGGGAGCCATAGAAGCTACCGGGATGGAGAGGTGCAGCCACAGCAGTACAAATGAACCAGAGCAGACAGCAGCAGGGAGGAAGTACCCCAACTTTTCTCCTCCCATCCTCAGACACCTGCTAGAGCCCCCACTGGCCAAACACCAGAACCTCGCGCCTGTAGGCCAAGGGTCAGTCCCCTTGACACAGAGCAGAGGTCAGGGGAGGGGTGGGGGAGTAGATTCAGCAGGGTGGGGACCTGCAAATCCCCCAACCAAATGGTTGGGTGTTCAGAAACAAGAATGGTAAGCTAACTACTCAGTAGAGCAAAACAGAGTGTCGGTGAGGATTCATACGTGCTTGGTTTTATTCTTAGCTACTTTTTTGGCCATGTTACAAATGTTTTTTTTAATTCAGGCCTGAAAACAACCCTGAGAGGTAGACACTAGTGTTCCCATCGTACAGATGACGAGACTGAGGCTCAGAGAGGTAAAGAGTCTCGCGCACGGTCTCAGAGCGGCAAAGCAGCACAACTGACATTCTCTAAACCACAGACCCTGGAATCACAGCCATCACCCTGCTCTGTGTGAACCCAAAGAGGAGAGAGCCATGTGTCAGGTGTGGCTGGGCCTTGGGGAAAAGGGAAGATGTAGACAGGGCAGGTAGAAAGCCATTCTCCAGGAAGGGAGGGAAGCTGTGATTTGAGCCCAGCAATGGGACCTGGGTGTCAACCCTGGGACCAGCCCCAGGCAGTGCTGCAGTGGAAGATGCCCAGGGATGCATGAGATGCAAGGTGAGGACCAGGGATGGCTCCCCAGAGGAGGACATTTGGGCTTAATCCTGGATGACAAGTTCATGAGACAGAGAAAGAGGAAAGACCTATGGGGCTGTCCTGGGCCACTTCTCCTCCCTCGCTACCTGTCCTCCTTCATGTTCCAGCCTCACAGTTTGAGCACCAGCCACGTGAAGGGACCGTCTGTAAGCTGCTCCAGCCCCACCTTCTTCCGCACTCCAGGCCAGGTCTCCAGCAGCTGCTGGCCATGGCCACAGAGATGTTTCATAGCAACTCCAACCTGACACAGCCCACACAGACCTTTTGGTACCACTACCCGTCTTCCGAACCTCAGCAAAGCCCTGCCCCCGCCAACTGCTCAGGCCAAAGACTCGAGAGCCATCCTAGATTCCTCTCCATCCCTCACCCGCTACATTCCATTCACAGCAAGTCCTGTTAACTCCACCTCGAAAACACATCCCATGGCCACGCACCTCTACACCTGGTCTGGGCCACCATCAACTCTCGCCTGGATGACAGTGACCTCCCCTGCTGGTCTCCCCTCTCTCCCAGCCCGTCTCCTCACCTCAGCCAGGGATCTCTTCAAATCAGATCATGTCACCTTCCCTTGTGCTTAGGAAAAAGCTCTCTCTAGGCTGCCCTGTACAACCCAACTGCATTAGTTTCCTCCAGCTGCTGTAACAAACCACCCCAAAGGTGGCTGGCTTGAAACAACACCAATTTATTTATTTATTATAGTTCTGGAGGTCTGAAGTCCGAAATGGGTTTCGGCGGGTGAGAATCAGGACTGTTTCCTTCTAGAGCCTCTAGGGGAGAATCTATTTCCATGCCTTTTTTGACTTCCAGAGGCAGCCCCCATTCCTTGGCCCGGGGCCCCGCAGCACCCCAACCTCTGTTTCCATCATCACGTCTCCTTTCTCCTGAGTCTGACTCTCCTGCCTTCATCTTTTAAGGACGCTGTGATTGTACTGGGTCTATCCACATAGTCCAGGATAATCTCCCTATTTCAAGATCCTTAACTTAATCCTATCTGCTGAAAGTCCTTTGCCAGGGAAGGTAATATTCACAGGTTCCAGGGGTGAAGACATGGACACCTTTGGGGAGCTGTCACTCAGCCTACCATCCCGACCTGGTCACCTCTTCTGGAGTCCCCATTGCTCATCTGACCCAAGGGCCTTCTTTTGGCTCTTCAAACAAACGAACCGTTTTTCTACCTCAGGGACTTTGCACTTGCTGACCCTTCTGCCTGGAATACCCTCCCTTCCCCTGGCATTCCTAGGGCTGACACTCCGATGTTGGCATGAGTATCATCTCTCTGACAGGCCTCCCCTGGCCTTGAAGTCCCAGCCAGCTGCCCCCTCGCCCTCTGCTGTGTCCCCCAGTGTAACTCCCAGAGAGCCTCTGGTCAGCAGCTGATGTTCTTCCCCATGTACTTATTTTCCTGGGGTTCCCACGACAGCGTGCACTCCCCGGGGACAGGTCCTGTCTGTCCCGCTCACTGCTGCACCCCAAAGCCTAGCACACAGTAGATGCTCAATACGCATCCGCTCAGGGCGTGGCCTCGTATCTTGTCCTGCCCAGGGGCCTGAGAACTTCTCTCTCCCCATTTCTCAGTTTCACTTCTATCTGTTTTACTTTTTCATTTTTTGAGTCACTTCTCACTTGAGGGAGGAAGAAGGGAGCAAGACATGCAGTTCCTTTTGAGGCAAAGAAGGAAATGACCCACCGGGCCTGAGCCCAGCGAGGCTGGCCAGGGGTCACAGCTGCCACCTCCCCTGAGTCAGGAACAGCTTCCTGGCAGAACTCTCAGCTCCCTGAGCCTTTGTTCACTGCCTTCCTCCGGCCCAGAGCAGCTGCCCTTTTCACAGCCCACCTCAAAGGGCACCAGGTCTCCTCCAGTCTGACCACCTCATTGAGGACTGAGGGAACTGGGACCGGAAGCCTTCCCAGGCACATGGCACCTGCGTTCCAGGCCCGGCTAATGCTCTGTCCCAGCCAAACCCTGCGAGCCCACTTCTGCCTGGGCCAGTAGCCGGGGGCCACAGGGATGCTGGATGCTAAGCTCAGCAGGCCCACAGGCCAGTCTGCACACACACCCCCGGCCCTCACTGAGGACAGCCTGGCGCCAGTGTCTCAGAGGAAATGTTACTAGAGTTTAGAAACCTCCTGTGCTGTGCAAAATCCAGCTTCTCCCTGCGGCCAGGGCGGGCGACAGCCAGGGAGGTGGCCTCCCATCCAGCACCCAGTGGGTCCTTGCCTCTCTCCAGGCAGGAGCCCTGATTCTGACTCCCACTCCCACCCACCAGCCTTCTTCCTCTGAACCATCCCAGGAGCCACAGGTCAGTGACACAGGGACCAGCAAGGGTAGACTGATGGGGTCAAGGGCTGAGAGGGCATAGTGACAGCTGAGGTCACAGCCTCTACCCACCCTGGGGCAGTGAGACAAGCCCTCTTCCTTCTGGAATTCAGGATGAAGCCAGGCCCTGATCTCTGGGTGACCCCAGATCCCCCTCCAGGTTGATCCCATGTCCCAAGGGCTGCCTTCATGGGGGCAATCACATGGGGTCTTGTGCTTAAAAGGACCCCATGCTGGATTTCACGTTCTTCCGTCTCTGTCCTGAAATTCTTAGTAACTTTTGAGAAAAGGACCCCATGTTTCCATTCTATACTACGCCCCACAAACTACGAAGCTGGTCCTGCGAGCCCAGCCTCTCTACCCACCACCCCATCCCACGAGAACCCCTGTTCTCGTGACAGCTCCTAGGCTAATCACCAACTGTGAGCGCTGCGTCTGGTGAGGGCCTGGCCCTCTAGGTCACCACATTTGGGTTTCTTAAGAGCCTTCTAAAGACAACATCAAAGCAACACTGCCACAGGGGCTCTCGGACTAGCCGGGGGGCATGTTTGTTCAGAGGAGTCTTTAAATCCCACCACACAGCAGCTGCTAGGTCAAGAGAGGGCAGTAGGAAGAGGCATGAACTTTGGGGCCAGGCCGACTTGGTTTGAGTTTGACTCTGAGGCTTCCCGTCTGGGTGATCTCAGAAACATTACTAAACCTCTCTCTTCCTCTGCTCATCTATAGAGTGAGGGCCACAATTATACCCACCTTTTGGCTTACTGGGAGGATTAAGTGCGATAACACATATAAAGTGCTTGGAAGAGTGTCAGGCATTCAATAGTTATTGATATTTATTTTTTGGTACTTATGATACTTATTGATGACACTTACTGATAAATGTCAGCTGCTGAGGTCAGACACCTGGGCTTTATTCTCAGCCCCACCATTTACTCCACTGTGAACTTAACTTCTCTGTGCCTTAGTTTCCCCGTCTGTAAAATCCAAGCTGGGTGTCCACTGCACAAGGCTTTGGCAGCTACCATCCACATCAGCATTGCTCTCTCCTCCAGGAAACCTTCCCTACAGCTCTCCTCTAGCCTCCCCTGTCGCCCATGCTTGCTTGCCCAATAGCACACGTGACTCTTAAGTAGGAATTGTTTGTGTCTGGCTTCCCCTCCCAGACGAGGAGCTCCACGGCGGCAGGAAGAGGGTGTGGTTCCGCTAGTCCGAGCAGAGAGTGAAGGATGAAGGGTTAAACAGCTCAGTGCTCCCCGGGAGGTGCTCGCACCCCACATTCCCTGATGGTCTCTCTCCTCGTCCCTCAGAACCGTCCGTCCCGGGAAGATGCAGGTGTTCGTGATGCTGCTGGCTGCAGGGGGCACCTGCCTGGGCCTGCTGGCGGCAGCTGCAGTGGCCGTCAACCCTGACCGACCCAACCCCCCCAGCTCGCTGCCCATTCACCGGCGCCAGAAGAGAGACTGGATCTGGAACCAGATGCACATCGATGAGGAGAAAAACGGCTCACTGCCCCACTATGTGGGCAAGGTAAGGCTCAGGCCCCAGAGCGGGAGAGGCGTGCCGTGGTGGTGGTGGTGATGATAAAGACAGTGACAGGTGCTGTGGTGGCTGCAGGGATGGGGATGATCGTTGCGAGGGTGATGGTAATAGTGGGAGAGATGGTGGAGGTGGCAGATGTCATGGTGGCGGTGACTATGGTGATAGCCAAGGAGAAGGTGGTGGTGGTAACAGCGGTGGTGGTGGTGATGACGATGATGATCCGTGGAGGTGGGTGGAGGTGGAGGTGGAGGTGGAGGTGGAGGTGGAGGTGGAGGTGGAGGTGGAGGTGGTGGTAGTAATGGTGAGCACAATGGTTCATCTTTCTCGCAGACTTTGGCCTATGGAGTGAGTATCACTGGCAGAAGGGCCACCCCGTGCACAAGCTAAGGAGGGCAGCCTAGCATGGGGGCTCAGGGCTCAGGGCAGGACCAGCCAAGGCTGCCATTAACTTTGCGCATCTGAGAGGTCTGGAAGACCTGAGCAGACTTCTACATAACTGTGCTGGTGACACGGCTCATCATCCAGGCCACGGTTTGCCATCTCTAGTCGAGGCCTTTGAACCTCCTCAGAAAGCCCTGTCTCTCAGGGTGTTTTGCCCTAGCATTTAGGGCTTTATGAGCTCCAGATCCTAGGACACCCATAACAAGGCACTTGACCCAAGCCTGCCCTCCAGGGCGGTGCCTACGACTCTAAACCCTCATTTCATCCCATTTAAAACGTGTCCATCCTCAGTCACCTTCCTAGAGCTTGGAGCTAATCTGAGGGACTAATGAACTATCTTCCTGTGTCAAAAGGTCGCTGAGGTCAAAACCGTACACTCTAATTGAAAGGAATGGCTCTAGGGGCTTCCCTGGTGGCGCAGCGGTTGAGAGTCCACCTGCCGATGCAGGGGACACAGGTTCGTTCCCTGGTCCGGGAAGATCCCACATGCCGCGGAGCGGCTGGGCCCGTGAGCCATGGCCGCTGAGCCTGCGCGTCCGGAGCCTGTGCTCCGCAGCGGGAGAGGCCACAACAGTGAGAGGCCCGCGTACTGCAAAAAAAAAAAAAAAAAAAAAAAAGAAAGGAATGGCTCTAGTGGTGGAATTTCACACACAACGACAGGGAGATGGATTAGGTATTTCAAGAGTTTTCAGTGAGGAGAAAAATTCCTTTCCAATGCTTTAAAATCTCACCACGTCAGTTTCTTGGAAGCTAAGCAGGGTCAGCTAAAGAAAGATCAGTGTACTGGTGAGAGGAATTATGGTCCCAAGCACAAGGCTGGGCTCTGGGACATGGTCAGGGGGCAAAGACAGACATGGTCCACACCCTCATGGAGCTTGTGGTCTAGAACAGGGTCTGGCCACATGTAAATCAGTGAAGTTAGAACACTCCCTCACACCATACACAAAAACAAACTCAAAATGGTTTAAAGACTTAAATATAAGACATGATACCATAAAACTCCTAGAAGAGAACATAGGCAAAACATTCTCTGACATTAATCACAGCAATGTTTTCTTAGGTCAGTCTCCCAAGGCAAAAGAAATAAAAGCAAAAATAAATAAACGGGACCTAATCAAACTTATAAGCTTTTGCACAGCAAAGGAAACCATAAACCAAATAAAAAGACAACCTATAGACTGGGAGAAAATATCTGCCAATGTTATGACTGACAAGGGCTTAATCTCCAAAATATATGAACAGCTCATGCAGCTCAGTATCAAGAAAACAAACAACCCAATCAAAAATGGGCAGAAGACCTAAACAGACATTTCTCCAAAGAAGCCATACAGATGGCCAACAAGCACATGAAAAGATGCTCCACACCACTATTAGAGAAATGCAAATCAAAACCACAATGAGGTATCACCTCACAGCAGTCAGAATGGCTGTCATCAAAAAGTCTACAAACAATAAATGCTGGAGAGGGAGTGGGAAAAAGGGAACCCTCCTACACTGTCGGTGGGAATGTAAATTTGTGCAGCCACTATGGAAAACAGTATGGAGGTTCCTTAAAAAACTAAAAATAGAGTTACAATATGAGCCAGCAATCCCACTCCTGGGCATATATCCAGAAAATATGAAAATTCTAATTCAAAAAGATACACGAACCCCAATGTTCAGAGCTGCACTATTTACAACAGCCAAGACGTGGAAGCAATCTAAGTGTCCACCAACAGATGAATGGATACAGAAGGTGTGGTACCTATAAATAATGGAATATTACTCAGCCATAAAAACGAATGAAATCTTGCCATTTAGAGCAACATGGATGGACCCAGAGGTTACCATACTGAGTGAAGTAAATCAGACAGAGAAAGACAAATACCATATGATACCTCTTATATGTCAAATCTAAAAACATGATACAAATGAACTTATTTACAAAACAGAAACAGACTCACAGACATAGAAAACAAACTTACGATTATCAAAGGGGAAAGCAGGGGAGGGATAAATTAGGAGTTTGGGATTAACGTATACATACTACTATATATAAAACAGATAATCAACAAGGACCTACTGCATAGCACAGGGATCTATATTCCGTAGGTTGTAATAACCTATAATGGAAAAGATGTATACACACACACACATATACATCACTTTGCCGTACACAAGAAACTAACACAACACTGTAAATCAACTATACTTCAATTAAATAAATACATAAATAGGGGCTGGTAGAACTGCCCCGCCATGCGGTTTTGTAAATAAAGTTTTATTGGAACAGAGCCACACCGTGCACTTAACAAATGGTCGTGGTTGCTTTCACGCTACAATGGCAGATTTGAGTAATTGTCCCAAAGACCATATGATCCACAAAGTCGAAAATTTTTACTATCTGGCCCTTTACAGAAACAGTTTGCCCACCCTGGTCTAGAAGGGCAGCATGTATCAGACAAAGAACCCCACACATGCTGGAGATGGGGGAGCCCTATGATTATAGAGAAACAGGCCAGAAACGACCCCTAGACGGGGAAGGGTCAAGTCTGGCCTCAGCACCAGAAATGCCATGGCAGATGGCGGTGGAGCCAGCTGGGGAATCTATACTCACAGCCCTGCCCACGGCCCTCTCCACTGCTCACTGTGCCCAGGCCTCCTCTGGCCACCAAGAATGGCTGGGAAATTCAGATCCTTCAGTCTGGCTACTCAGAAGGGAAAGCGCTTGCCCAGGGTCACACAGTGAAACCAGGATAGAGCCCTAGGAAAGCACAGGGTTCCTGACTCCCAACACCGATGTGAACTCTGTGCCCTAGAGGAAAATGCCATCGGCCCATCTACTCCTTCCCAAGGGGATGAGTGTGCCGTGAATCAACCTCCAAAGAGAATGGCTGCCCCCCAACGAATATCCACGGGCTGAGTCAGGGACAGTCAGCGGCAAGCAGGGCCACCGGCATGCCGCCCAGCCCGGACACGGCAGACCTTGGACGGCTCGCCCGAAGTCCTCTGCGCAGCAGGAAGAGCGTCAGGCCTGCCGTCCCCTGCCAACAGTGTGCACTTGGCACCTGGCATGGGGACAGAGGGTCCCGTGCAGTCCCCGCCCTGGGAAGAAGCAACGGTGTCTGGGAGAGGCAAGGACAGGGCTCCAAGGATCACCTCCTGGCTCCAAAGACGTCATCGGAGGGAAGGAAGTCCCTGATTACCAAGATCAGAGCCAGGAGCCTTTGTTTACAGAGCTGTTTGCTGGACAATGGGAGCTGAGTGGCCTTCTGAATCCACAGACATGGGTCAGCATAGCTTTCGGCATTAAGATGTTATATCCAAATATAGAGATAATTTAAAAAAGGGGAGGGCCCCCCAAACCTATAACCGCAGTCTGTCTAATCGTGAGGAAAACATCGGACAAATTCCAATAGGGGGCATCCTACAAAACACCCAACCAGCACTCCTCAAAACTCTCACGGTCATCAAAAGCAAGCAGAGCCTCACGGACAAAGAAAACAAACTTATGGTTACCAAAGAGGATAGTGGGGGGAGTGGGATTAACATCTACACACTACTATGTATAAACTAGGCAAACAACAAGGACCTACCATCCATCACAGAGAACTATACTCAGTATCTTGTAATAATTTATAATGGAAAAGAATCTGAAAAAGAATATATATGTATATTTGTGTATATATATATATATATATAACTGAATCACTTTGCTGTACACTTGAAACTAACACGACATTGTAAATAAAGTATATTTCAATTAAAAAAAGAACCATGGAGAATCTGAGAAACTGTCCCAGCCAAGAGTAACTTAAAGGAACATGACAACTAGATGTAATGTGGTATCCTGGGTGGGATCCTCAAACAGAAAAAGGACATTAGGTAAAAACTAAGGAAATCTGCACAAAATATGAACTTTAGTTAATAAGAATATATCAATATTGGTGCATTAATTACAACAAATGTACCATACTAATGTAAGATGTTAATAACAGGGAAATTGGGCACAGGATGTATGGGAACTCTCTGTACTATCACCTCAATTTTTCTATAAATCTAGAACAGTTCTAAAATATAAAGTCTATTTAAGAAAAGTTGGAGGGAAGGAAAACAGAAACTCATATCCAAATGAAGTCTTCTTAACACTATTTATTTGATGATACTGAGAAATTATCAAAGATGTTTAGGTGTGAGTCAAATGCAATCTCAGGCAGAATTCCAGTAACAGATCAAAGCTGACTCACGCCCCCTTGCTACTCCTGCCCACATGGATCCTAATGCACCCACCAGAACCAGGTTTGGAATGACCATCCTATCCTAACCCTGAGTAACTCAGACAGGGCCCCAGACTGTCCCTCCTTCTTGACCCCCACTGTCCTCCCGCCCAAGTCACAGGTTCCAGCGCTGGCGCATCACTTCTTGCCTCCTGCCCATCTGTTCATCGTATGTCCCGGCCACTGGCCTTCGGGACCTCCCCACGAACCATCTGCCCCTGCACACCCGCAGCCCTGCTCCAGGATACTTCTTCACTACCTCCAGCTACAGCCTCACCTCTCTCCCGCCCCGCCCACCAAGGGGGAGGAGCCTCACTCCCTGTCCCCACTTCCTCACCTCCCAGACTCTTTTTAAAGCCCTGTCACCCGGGAGCTTCCCTGGTGGCGCAGTGGTTGAGAGTCCGCCTGCCGATGCAGGGGATGCGGGTTCGTGCCCCGGTCCGGGAAGATCCCACATGCCGCGGAGCGGCTGGGCCCGTGAGCCATGGCGGCTGAGCCTGCGCGTCCGGAGCCTGTGCTCCGCAGCGGGAGAGGCCACAACAGCGAGAGGCCCGCGTACCGCAAAAAAATAAAATAAAATAATAATAATAAAGCCCTGTCATCCGGCTTCTCAATCCACCATCCCCTAACGCTGCTCTCACCAAGGGCTCCGATGACTGCACCGCTGCTAAGCCTAGGGATGCTTTCCAGACCTCGTGGGATCTGACCACACCCATCTTGATGCTCCCTCTTCTGTCCTGAGACCCCACTCTCTCTCAGGTTCTCCTCCAGCCTTTCTGATGCAACACCTTCACTCAAGGCTCTTGTTCCAACTGACCCTTAAATGCTGCCCTTCATCAAAATCTCAGCCTCTGCTGCTCCAAACCAGGCCCTGAGAGAAAGAATGGGGTCTGGACTATCTTTATGCTCCCAGGCTGGCACCTTGTAGGCATCTGATTTTTTTCTTTTACTTTATTGAACTCTATTTTTTGAACACCCTAACCACCTATGGGAGGACAATTCAACATGTATGAAATATGATTAGTTTATGTTCCTAACAGCCTCTGTTTCCAAGATTCCATAAATGAAATGTCCAGCAATTCTAAACTTCTAATATCCTTTAATGTAGGCATCTAGTCTGAATAACAGCTAGCATTTATTGAGAGCCTGTGCAAATTGCTTTACACACATTATTTTCCAAGTCTTATTCCTAAGGACACTAACAGTATGTGTAACAAAGAAAAAGGATTCAGTGGTCTAACAAGTACAGGAAATCCTGAGTTAAACAAAGCTCAGTGGAGTTCTTTTCTGCAGAACTATATGTTGTAAATCTCCAAAAAGAGAACATTTTATGCACCATTCCAAAACTAAATGACTGAGACCACTGATGTGCTGATAAATAGTTGACAACTGGCTTTTGAGGGGAAAAGATCCTGTTTGTAGCATTTGCCAATTTCCTTGGTGTAAATACTTTCACCATGTCTGTTGCAAGCGACCAACTTGATGCCACTGAAGGCAGAGTTGGGAACAGATGTGCATTAACACAGCATTATCCAATATTTCCATCATTCAATACGATCAACATAAAAACTCAAGAACAGGGGTGGGATACGGAGGGTGGGAGGGAGACACAAGAGGGAGGAGATATGGGGATATATGTATATGTATAGCTGATTCACTTCGATATAAAGCAGAAACTAACACATCACTGTAAAGCAATTGTACTCCAATAAAGATGTAAAAAATAAAAAAGTTTTTTAAAAAACTCAAGAGAGCATAGTAAAATGTAGTAAAATGACAGTATTAGGAAGCAATAGATTTATAGTACGTTACCTTTGTTTGTTTGTTTGTTTTTGCGGTACGCGGGCCTCTCACTGTTGTGGCCTCTCCCGTTGCGGAGCACAGGCTCCGGACGGCAGGCTCAGCCGCCATGGCTCACGGGCCCAGCCGCTCCACAGCATGTGGGATCTTCCCGGACCGGGGCACGAACCCGCGTCCCCTGCATCGGCAGGCGGACTCTCAACCACTGCGCCACCAGGGAAGCCCCTACCTCTGTTTTTAATATGATTCATTTAATTGTAAGTTGATATAATTGATTTTTTTAATAATGCCATGCCCTGGCACACTCACACGGGCACACACTCACACGCACACAGCCACCACTGCTATTTCCAGTTCACGGTGCCTCTCCTTTCCTAGATTAAATCAAGCGTGAACCGCAAGAACACCAAGTACCAGCTCAAAGGAGAGTCTGCCGGCAAGGTCTTCCAGGTTGATGAGAGCACGGGGGACGTGTATGCCTTTGAGAGGCTGGACAGGGAGAAGATCTCTGAGTACCACCTCATCGCCCTCGTGGTGGACAAGAACACTGAGAAGAACCTGGAGTCTCCTTCCAGCTTCACCATCAAAGTTCACGATATCAATGACAACTGGCCTGTGTTCACGCACCGGGTGTTCAATACCTCCGTGCCCGAGATGTCAGGGATAGGTACGCACCCGGTCCGTCTGTCTCCCTCTCCCCTCACTCGTCCCTGGCATGGAGGCACCTCTCCCACTGGCAGCTTCACTGCCTGGGGCAGGATTCAGTGAGTTCCGGGCAGCTATGGGGATGCCCATATTGCCACTTTATATGACTCGAAAGGAACTCTGGTCCCTAAAGACTAAGCTCTGACCTGGCCCCAGACGGAGTCCTGACCATCACACACACACACACGTCTTGTTACTCTTTGGAGCCGACGCCACCCACTGCTCTGACTCTCAGGGCTGGCATGCCAAGAGCGTAGCCTTTGCACATGAAGGAGGCCAACTCTTCCACCAAGACAAGGAGTCACCTTTGGGGTCCATACAGGAGTGGAGGGGGGCGGGAGAGGGACACACCTCATCCCAAGGTGTGTCAGCAGCCTGGACCCCAGGCCTCCAGAGGAGACTATTCCTACTTCAATTCTACCCCCAGCCTCCAGGGGGTGCCAGAAAAGGTCTCCCTTCCCCAGCCCTTAGTCCAGGCTCTCTCGCCAGGTCTCAGGACCAGACCTTCCTGTTAAGTATGGGGAGCCTGGAGTTCAAGGGGAAAGAGATGTGAACCCAGCCCTTTGGGGGCCCTTCCTATTCTCTTGTTCTCATGCTTCCAGAAGGAAGAAGCAGCCCTTACTGTTTCTCCCCATGACCTCAGCCACTCACCTCTTCCCTCATTTCCCCCATAAATGAAAACCACCTGTTCTCTTTGCCCTTCATGTTTGAGGGAGCTGGGCCTCCACCACTGCCAGCGCTTTGCCCCCAGGCAGGCTCCTCAGAAAACAAAGCAGCCTTTTCTCCCTCAGGACCTGGGGGAGGGGGGTTCAGGGAACAGCCTGAGCCCCACGGGCCCTCATCTGGGAATGGGGTGAGGGGCTGGCCATCGCAAAGCAGCAACCCTGGATTCTCTCCCCACAGGGACCTCGGTCATCCAGGTGACAGCAATGGATGCAGATGACCCCACTGTGGCAGACCACGCCTCTGTCGTGTACCAACTCCTGAAGGGAGAAGAACATTTCAGCATCCGTGGTTCTGGTCTGTGTGACTAACCCCCCCGGGGGCGGCACTGGCTTGGAGGGGGTGGAGGTGCAGGCACCGAGGGAAGCCCAGTCTGCCAGGTGTCACTGACCACTGACCACTGACCTACACCACCCTTTGGAGGCAGTCGGTACCCTACGTCAAGACAAGGTGGCTGGTGAGGGCAGAAGGAGGCAGACAGGTGCCCAAGACGTGAACTCAGGTCCAGGGGACAAAGTCAGGACCCAAGCACTGACACGAGAGGTGGAAGAGAATGCCGGTTAGCAGCTCCAGCTATGGAATCAAATGGATCTGGTTTCAGAACCCATTTCTGCTCCTCACTGCTTCTAAAGACCTTGGGCAAGTCAACTGACCTCTGTGAGAGCTAGGGCCCTAATCTCAAAACGGGGGAAGCTTATATTCACCTTGTACGGTAGGTGTGAAGTCTGAATTAGGTAACGTATAATGAGCACGTGGCCCATCGTCATTATCCACTCCACGTGACCCAAAAAACTGTAAGGACTGAGTCTTAGGAGCAAGACAGAAGTCCAGGTGGTCAGGCCTGAGGCAAGCCATCTTTCAGAGTGATGGCAAACACACAGCACAACCTACGCTGCACCAAGGCAGCCATCACTAACCCATCACAGCACTCTTCCCACTCTGAGCCTAGATGTGGCCTCAGGTTCTTGCTCAACCCAGTGCTCCAGGTGGCTAGGACCAATACTGGACCGAAGCGTTTGGCCTAGCAGTGCAGGGCATGGAGGTGGAAGGTGGTTCACCCCTGGCTCTCAGTCCTGGCTGCACAGTGAAATCACCTGGGGAGCTCTGAAGCCAGGCGCCCTATGGGTAGCGGCCGGGCATCGCTATTTTTTAAAAGCTCCCCAAGTAACACGGCTCCTGATGTGACACTTTTTGCAGGACTAATTGTCACAGCGAACAAAAACCTGGACCGAGAGAAGCAGGCCAAGTACGAGATCGTGGTGGAAGCACGAGATGCCCAGGGCCTCCGGGGGGAATCGGGCACGGCCACCGTGCTGATCTCTCTGCAGGACGTCAACGACAACTTCCCCATCTTCACACAGTGTGAGCCCCTCCCCTAGGGCCCCGGGCAGGGCGAGGGTTGGGATACTCCAGGCTCCGTGACCCGGGAGCTCTCAGAGAGGATCCTGGCATCTGTCTACCTCTCTCTCCAACCCAGGCCGGGCCTACGTCAGGGGTGTCTTTCCGGTGTTCCCCATCTATGAACACGTTCCCAAGGCTGTCCAACTGCCCCTGCCACGGAGCCCTCACAGGCCAGCAGGGAGTCACACTCCCTGCTGTGTGCCACCGTGTGCCCAGAGTCCCACTACCAGATAGGACCACTTTCACCCAGATCCCATGGGCTCAGGAAAACCCAGACCCCAGCTAGAAAATCCCCATGAGCTGGGGAACAGGGGTTCAGCAAAGCTCCAGAGCCAGGGCTGGGCTCTGACCCATCCACAGACTGATTCTCCCCGCTTTTGACACACCCTGGGTGGGCTGGGGAGGAAAGTCAGATGACTCATCTCTTACAACTCCAATGCTGACGGCTCAGGCAGAGGCTCAGCCACCCCAAGGACAGGCGGGTTTTCCCGAAGTGGCCTCCTTGCGTACGGCACAAGCTCCAGAAGGCAGAGATTCTCAATTGTCAGTTAACAGGTCCCCTAGCAAGGTGCCTGCCATACAGCAGACGCTTGATAACTACTTGTCAGGTGGATGGAAGGACAGAGCACAACCTCTTTGCCTTGGGACACAAAGTTCCAGAGGAATTACTACTACTACTACTACTATTTTATTGTGCCCGCTTCCTGTAACAAAATGTATTGGGATAGTATGGGGACAGTCGCCTCATCTATCTCATTAACCCAGTGCCCTTTGGGGCGCCTCTTTGCATCAGCCAGGTACATGTTTTCTGTGCCTGAAGACATCCGTGTGGGCAGCCCCCTGGGCTCTCTGTTTGTGGAGGACCCAGACGAGCCCCAGAACCGGAAGACAAAGTACAGCATCGTGCAGGGCGAGTACAGGGACACCTTCACCATCGAGCCTGACCCCAGCCGCAACGAGGGCATCATCAAGCCCATGAAGGTTAGCAGACCTGTGGCAGTGACATCAGATGTGGGGTTGGGGGCTCCCGGCTTCCTCAGGACTCAGCCAGGGGTTGCTCCCGGATCAGAGGCCACCAAAGGTGCACGTTCTGGGTCAGTTTGGAGCTGGCCGTGTGCTCGTGGACACTGTGACCCTGGCGCTGGGAAGGGGAGCCAGGACAGAAGGGTCAGTGCCTTAGGCTGGGCTACCCCGGAAGCAGACCTTGAGGCAAGGATTTGGGTGTAAATAGTTTACTTGGGGAGTGATCTCAGGAAGCCCCAGGAGCAGTGAGATGTGAAAAGGAGGAAAGCGAATACAGGCTCCTCAATGAGCAGGTGAACACCATGGGTGAGTGGGGTGCAGTCCCGCTGGGGACATCTGGGGGACCGTGTGGAATATGCCTCAGAGTCGCAGCAGCTGTGGGCTGATTGAGGGCTCCTGGGGGCTCACTCCCCAGCACTTTCTTCCTTTTTTTTTTTAAGATTTATTTATTTATTTAATTTATTTTTGGCCACCTCAGGTCTTAGTTGCAGCATGCAGACTCTTCATTGTGGCCTGCGGGCTTCTCTCTAGTCGTGGTGTGTGGGTTTTCTCTTCTCTAGTTGTGGCGTGCAGGCTCCAGGGCGCGTGGGCTCTGTAGCTGTGGCGTGAGGGTTCCTAAGTGCGTGGGCTCTGTAGTTTGCGGCACACAGGCTCTCTAGTTGAAGAGCGGGACATCAGTAGTTGTGGCACGTGGGCTTAGTTGCCCCGTGGCATGTGGGATCTTAGTTCCCTGACCAGGGATCGAACCTGCATCCCCTGCATTGGAAGGCGGATTCTTAACCACTGGGCCACCAGGGAAGTCCCCTCCCTGGCACTTTCTGATCTGCCCTGGGCACGGGCCAGGAAAGCCCTGGAAGATTACAAGTGCTGGCAGCTGAAAGCCATCAGCATGTAAGGAAATAGTGAATGCCGTGGGGAGGGGGTGGCCATTGGCAGTGGCTGCTGCTGAGAAAGCAGTTGGACTGGCTGAATCCAGAAGAGGAGGGAAGGTCTGCCAGGGGCACAAACTGCTTCAGAACGGCCATGCAGAGGACTGGGAGGCCAAGGCCAGTGATGACCTGCCTCAAAGGGGACACTCCAGAACCCCTCTGCCTGAGCCAGGCCATTCCTCCAGCAGACCTCTCCCGAGTCCCTCTCTGGTCCAGCCCTGTGCTGGGGACTAGATATACCCAGAGGAGTCAGACGGCCTCCACGGTACCAAAGCTCTCAGCCAGTAGGGAGGACAGACACAGACATAAAGGGTACCCAGGCAGGGAGCAATTACCTGTGTTGGGAGGGGCAGGAATGGGTTCTGAGAGGGCATCTGATTACCTTCAGATTGGCTTCCTGAGGGGTGAATAGGAGTATGCCAAGCGGGCAAGGGCAGGAGAAGAGACTTGAGCAAAGGCACAAAGAAAAGGAATGTCTTTAAGGAGCTGGGGATAGAACCACTAGTCTGTGGTCCCCTTGATAGCAAGACTGTGGCTGATCCACTGGTTGTCCTCAATACCTGGAATTGAGCCACGGTCAGGATACACGGGAGACAGCTGAAGACAGCCAGGCCACAGCCCCTCATCTGTAAAAAGGGGGTCATCCCAGTATGACCTCGCAGGGTTGCTGTGAAAATCACAACCACGTGCTTGGCTCAGAGCAAGTGCTCACCATAGTTTTCCCTTTGCAGCCCCTGGACTATGAACGCATCCGGCAATACAGCTTCACCATCGAGGCCACGGACCCCACCATCGACCTCCGCTACCTGAGCAGCACCTCCACCAAGAACATCGCCCGTGTCATCATCAACGTCACAGATGTGGACGAGCCCCCCACCTTCCAGCAGCCCTTTTACCACTTCCAACTGCGGGAGAACCAGAAGAAACCTCTGATCGGCTCAGTGCTGGCCGTGGACCCCGATGCCGCTAAGCGGAGCATCAGGTAAGGCGGGTGGAAGGCGTGACGATGGTGATGATCACAACACCACCCAGGCACTGAGGCTCTTAGGCCTGCTGGACTGAGCCCAGGACTCAGAGGGGGAAACTGGCTTCTCCTGGAAGGTACATGGGACATGCACAGAGGCACGACAAGAAGCCCAAGCTCTTCCACTAACCCATGTGGCCAGGTGGAATCTTGCTCTGCCCAGGCCAGCATGGTCCTGGCCATCAGAGCTTCCCGTTGTCTGCTCTACCTTGAAGGGGAGGTACGAGCTCCCACAGGTCCCGTCTGGGGAGATGTGACAGTCAAGAGAGCAGCCAACTTGACATCCATGAAACCCCTTCGCTAAACATGATTTATTACATTTGTCTTCCCAAAACCACAAAAGGAAAAAGTGTTTATTTCACACAATCAAACAACACAAGGATCTATAAAGAAAACATCATAACCCTGATTTCCAGACAACTCATGTTCATGGTGTGCTGTGGTCCTATCATGCCTTTCTTCGTGACCACACAAACATCTACATACATTTATGGTGGATTTGTCCTTTGTTTGTTTGGGGGATTTGATTGTTTTAAAATTTTTTTGGATCATACTATACCCATTTCATCACTACGGCAAGTCCCTCCCTCAAGTGTTTTTTCACTTTATATATCTTTAATGCATTCTCAAACATTCATTCTTCCACGTGAACCATAAAATTCTTCAGTTTTTAAAAAAGCATCAGAATTCTCATGAGAATTGTGTTTATATATCAATTTGGGGAGAGTTAATGTTTCTCTGTTATCAGGTCTTCCTGTTAAAGACAAATGTGTACCTCCATTTTGATCACATCTCATAAGTTTTAGGACAACTGTTTTCATGGCCATTCTATTCTAAATGGTCTATAATGATAATTTTTATTTCTTCATTGATCCAATGGTTTATTTAAGAGACTTTTTTTTCATTTACAATTGGTAGGGCATTTTTTGGCTTTGCTTTAACTTGTTCTGTGATGTAATGCAATTGTCTTCGTGTGTCTTTCTGTCCATTTTTTTCTGGAATATCTAAGCTTTTGCTTTATGTATTTTTTCTGTTCAGTTAACAAAGGTTTATAACTATTCTACCTTCATTATGACTTGTCACTTTCATCCTTATGACATTTTGTCCTCAATTCCATGTTGCCTGATGTAAAGTTTGTCCTGTTTTCATGTTACTATGTTTGCCTGAAATAAATTTTCCAACCTTTACTTTTAATTTTTTCTAGGTCATGGGCAGTAAGTTGTCTCTTGAAACTGGAATGTAATTGGCTTTGCCTTTTTTTTTTTTTTCCATCTTTACTGGAGTATAATTGCTTTACAGTGTTGTGTTAGTTTCTGCTGTACAACAAAGTGAATCAGCTATATGTATACACATATCCTTATATCCCCTCCCTCTTGAGCCTCCCTCCCACCCCGCCTATCCCACGCCTCTAGGTCGTCACAAAGCATCGAGCTGATCTCCCTGTGCTCTGTGGCTGCTTCCCACTAGCTATCCATTTTACATGTGGTAGTGTAAATATGTCCATGCTACTCTCTCTTCATCCCAGCTTCCCCTTCCCCCCCCGTCCTCATGGCTTTGCTTTTTAATCTAAACTGAGATGCTTTGTGTTTAACCTATTTACATTTTTCATTGTAAATGATATGTTTGATCTTACTTCTTTTATCTTGTTTTACATTTGCTATTTCTCAAACTTAATTACTTTTTTCTCTTCCTCCATCTTTGTTGTAGAGTCTATTTTTTCATGTTATTTTCTCGTAGATATTTGGATAGAGTACATGCATTTTTACTTCTACCAGTGAGATTTACTTCTATCTGTAAAATTTTAAATGTTTTCCTGCACCAATATTTTCTAGTTAAAAATCTCTGTCTCTCTCTCTGTCTGTCTCTGTCTTGTCTCTGTCTCTCTCTCTTTCTCTCTCTCTCTCTCTCTCTCACACACACACACACACACACACACACCCTTGCCTTCCTATATATGATCAAGATATCAATAGTTTAATTTTAATTCCTCCCAAACCAGATTTTTTTTTTACTTTATTTTGAGACACTTGTTAGATGAAGTGAGTTTTCAAAAAAAATTTTTTCAGGACCCATCTTGTGGATGATATACTTCCTGAATCCTTGCATATTTACAAATCAAAAATATTATCAATGTGTCCTAGCATTTAACTTTGTGAGAATGTCTGGGGTGAGTCTGATTTCTCTTTCTTTATAAGGACGTACCTTTTCTGTCTGGACTCTTTTTGGTTTCTTTATATAGCTCTGAAATTCAAAAGTGTCATCAGGATATAGCTAAATATTGATCTCTTTTTAAAATTACGCCTGATATCAATGACTCTTCTATAAACTTGGGCCTTTCTTCAGATCAGGAAGTTTTCTTCTATTATATCTTTTGTTATTTCTTCTGTTCTCTTTGTTCTGGAATTTTCCTCAGTATTAGAAAAATATATATTTGGAATGTTATATATTTTCATCTCTCTTTTCTTCTCTTCATGCCATTTTCCTTAAGAACTTTTCCAATTTTTACTTCACAAATTTAATTTCCTTTCAATCACTTTGTACCTCTTCCAGCCCCTTTTTTTATTTCTTCCTGGCTCTTGCCCAACTATCTTTTCATTAATCACAAAATGCGATCCAAGCTGTGGTATAGCTGATTATAGTGCCACCTGCCTCAACTGTGAAAGTGCTGTTGATGGAGTCTCAAGTACCACCCTCAGCCCAGTGATGGCAACACTGCCAACATCAAAGGGATTATCTCACTACTCTGACTCCCTCTGGGTGGTCAAGTGCAATGAGCAGTTAGAGGAGGAAGGGGGATGGATGCAAGGGACAGATCCTGAAGGGTCTCATCTGTCCTGCTGGGGAGTTTGGACTCAGCAAAGAACAACGGAAAACCTTGAAACTCTCTCCCGTGGGCAGATACTCCATCCGCAGGACAAGTGACAAGGGCCAGTTCTTCGGAATAACCAAGCAGGGGAATATTTACAATGAGAAGGAGCTGGACAGAGAAGTCTACCCCTGGTGTAACCTGACAGTGGAGGCCAAAGAGCTGGATTCTAGTGGTGAGTGGCCCCATTTGCCAGGGGACCTGGGCTCCTCTCCTTTTCAAATCATCAAAATCTATCATTTTGGGTCTCCAGAGGTACTATAAGCACCCGCTGATGCACCACTTGGTTGGGATGCTATAGCGCCTCCATCCCCAAGTGTGGATGGACCAGCTGCATCCACGTCATCTGAGACTTCGTTAGACGAGCAAAACATCAGGCCCCAACCCCAGACTGAATCAGAATCTCATGCACACTACAGTTTAAGAAGCACTGTTCCAAAACAGGCTGCCAGATGTCCCTGTGATGAGAATCACCTGAGGCACCTCTTAACCACAGAGCTTCTCAGATGCCTCCCTGGAGGTTTTGGTCCAGTGCGTCAGAAATGGGGCCAAGGAATGTGCACTGAACGAGTGCCGTGTGGTCGTTTGGAAAAGGCTGCTTTGGAGGGTGTTTATATGCCAGTTAGTGGGCTGAATTCAAAATCTGAAGCAGTTTCCAACTCCAAGACTGTTAGATTCTCCAGAAATTAGGGTAACTGCTGCCAAAGGGAAAGGCAAGTATCGGAGTTGTGCACTCTTAGCCTCTATGAGAAAATCACAACTGTCCTCTGGGAGAAGGATCAATATTCCCACCTCACACAGAGAGCACAAGGGCCCAGAAAGGGGGTGACTTGGCCAGGGCCCCACCGGTGCTACCCTGAAGGGCCCCTGCTTCCTGCTGGCAGCACGTCCCCCACCTGGCAGCCAGGTCAGCTTCAATGGACTCCTGCGTACTGTCCAGATCAGTCTTTGCCCCTTTCTTCCCCATCTAATCTCACTCATACAATTTTTAAATCTTATAGTAATAGTTTGCTGCCCATTTTAAAATACGGAAAACACAAAAAAGGAGAAGAAAATTATACCCTCATATTCCCACCGTACACAGATAATTACTGTTAGCACTGTAGTGTACTTCCTCTGGTCTTTTTACGATATGTATTTTTATACAAGTGAGATCATAATACTTGTATAAATATCATATCCTGCATTTTTACTTAACCTTATTCCAGAATCATTTTCTCATGGTACTAAAATATCTTTTTTAAAAAGACTGTAATTTTTAAAATGTAATTTACCTGGGCATTGCAAACAGCCACATAGTCCATTCTTTTAAACTGACGTAATTTATTAATGCAATCTCACTTAGATCGTTTACCTTTTCAATTATTTCATAATTAATTTATTTAAATTAGTTGGCTTAAATTGCTGAATTGATTTAATAATTACTTAATTGATTTAATTAAAACCTTTAAAAATACACTTCTGTTGTTCACCTTTTCGATTCTTACAACTAATTCTTTAGCAAATATCCTTGTGCTTGAAGCTTTACCCCCTTCCTCTTCCACTCCCTTCGACCAGGAGGCCATCCCTGGTCTCCCTTCCAGATGTCCATAACCCCCTCTTCCTGCAAAAAGAGCACCCCTCCAGGACTCCCATCCATATACATTCTAATCCCAGGGCTGGCACCTGCTGAACCCACTGTAGTGATGAGTCCTTTCCCCTGCAGGGACCCCCACGGGCAAAGAATCCATTGTGCAGGTCCACATCGAAGTTTTGGATGAGAACGACAATGCCCCAGAGTTTGCCAAGCCCTACGAGCCCAAAGTGTGTGAGAACGCTGCCCAGGGCAAGGTGAGTCTAACTCAGGTGGGAGGGCAAGGCAGCGTCCGCCTGGGGCAGGCCGAGGGGCAGCACCTCCCAGCCACGGTCAGCCGGCATTTCACTAAGTTTAATGTAACTTGTACAACAGCCTTGAGGAAAGGTGACATATTCCCCACAGAGGGTGAAACTGAGGCTCAGAGAGAATGTGTAGTGAGTAGATTGGCGGGGAGGTGGTGGTAGAAAGAGTGGCTCTGTGGAGACCATTTAGGTTAGTGTTACAGGTGAGAGGCAGCCACGGTCAGGTCTAAACCCAAAGTCCCTCCCCATCACTGAAACCCCGGCCAATCCAACACCGCTAATGACCGGCCCCCATCTTCCACCCTCTAGCTGGTCGTGCAAATCTCGGCAATAGACAAGGATATAACACCACGAGATGTGAAGTTCAAGTTTTCCCTGAGCACTGAGGACAGCAACTTCACCCTCACGGATAATCACGGTGCGCCTCAAGGCAGTCAGGCTGGCTCTTGGGGGGCTCGGGGACGGGGTTGAGTCTTGAAGTGCCAGGGTCAAGGACCAAGCCACTGAACTGGGGGCAGGCCCTCAGTGGGGCTTTCAAGTTACAGGAGGTTTTGTACAATTCCCACCACATACCTAACTGGTCTGTGCCATGGTCAGGGCCACCCTGGCACACTGCTAAGTCCACATGGCCGGCCCTTCCCCAAAAGATGCTCAGGTTACTGAGGAGCACAGAACAGATATGCGGTGTAGACAGCTTGGTTCACAAACCAGCCAAAGACTCCTTCCTGCGCTCAGCACAACTGCAAATTGCTCTATGACACAGAACTTTGAGGTTGCTTCCAAAGAGGCAAAACTGGACATTTGAAACCCGAAATGCCTAGGATACAGTGTTTTAATTTGGCTACAATGACTACTTACCAGCAGGTGTCCTCGGGACAGGATCTGGTCCACCAATCACAGCCTAGAGAGCCCTGTGATGTCAGTAGCGGCCAATCAGAATTTCTCATGTGTCAGCGCTGAGTTGACTGAATTCCAGCCAAAAGCAGACAGGCTTCCATGGCTTCTGCACCTTCCTGAGAAAAACACAAAAAATCCCCCTTGGGTCTAAACAGAACAATCCTTCACCCAGAATGGGGTGGAATCCCTGCCCATCCCTAACTGGCAACACTGTGGTTGGTGAGGATCCCTGTATAGAAACAGCCATTGCCACCTTTGAGGAAGGTCAGGGAGTGGGGTCCCTGAGAGCGAGAGGCAGACCCAGGGGATCAGCCACAGACTCGTCCTTAAGGAGCCTCCTGTGGGACGGGGATGGTGGCTATGATGCGTGGACAGTCAATGACAGACCATTCAACATTCCGCTGTCTTTAGTAGTAAATAATATGGAAAAAATACCCGTCACCCCATCCCCAGTGCCCACCTCAATCCTGCCTCAGAGGAGGGCTGCAATGGAGAAGAAAGCTTAAACACCAACCCAAAGACACCCCATATGTGACCAGGAGACTAGCTTGTTGATCTCAGATTCACTTAGAACATGAATGTCCTGCTACAATATTAAATGACTATAGTGAGAAATCTCTAATTTCCCTCATACAGTGTCAGTGGCCATATTGTTATTATTTTCAATTATAAGAGACATGGCTACTTAATAATGAAATGTAATTGGCTTCCATTTGAAATCTAAAAGATGGCCTCCTTTGCTTTTGGCTTCCTGAGTGTGCCAACCCCGCACAGCTAGGTAAACCCTGGAACAGGGAGTCCCTGGACCCTCTAACCATCATCATCTCCTAGGAGCCAACAAAGGGCAGATTATCCAGCCACTGAATCAGAAAGGCGGGAGAGGGGAGGGGGAAAAGGAAGGAGGAGTGGAGGGGGGCGCTTCTGAAAAGCCAGCATGTTAAAAAATCTCCCTGGGGAATTCTGTACATGGATTGATTGGAGCTGAGAGGGAGAGCCTATGTTTGGGCCAAAGCACATTCTCAATTCCAGCCTGACCAGGGAATCCTCAATTACATATGCAATCATTCCCTCAGTGCCCCAGGGAACTGTGCATTGTTTTTACTTTCTAATGGATTTTCAGGGATAGCAAAAACAGCCTTAGAAGTTAGCCGATGGTAAAAGACTTTTTAAGACTTTATTTCCCCCTGATTGCTCATCAAAGCTTGAAACAATGCGTTAATTAGCTGACAGTCACCTTTTATTGAAGTAGAGTTAGGGGTCAGGCATATCATTTGCCCACAGAAACAGAAAGCAAGGGTTTTACATTCTGGCCAAGTCCTTCTTAGAGGCTAGGTCGAAGCAGCTGCCCAAAACATGCCCTCTCTGGAGGAACAGACCTGCGCTCAAATGGCTAAAACCTGAGGCAGGGGGTGCCAAGGGCAGAGACACAGCCCAGGCAGCACGTGGGCTGGCGCAGTCACCAAGGGCTTCCTGGAGGTGGCAGGCAGCGTGGATGAGAGGATGGGCACTCCAGGCAGCAAAGCCTGACTCCGAGGACTTGGTGTTTCCAGATAACACGGCCAACATCACAGTCAAGTACGGGTATTTTGACCGAGAGCGCGCCAAGGTCCACCACCTGCCCGTGCTCATCTCGGACAACGGGAGGCCAAGCCTCACAGGCACCAGCATGCTGGATGTGACCGTGTGCAAGTGCAACGAACGCGGCGAGTTCACCTTGTGTGAGGAGGCGGCCGCCCAGGTGGGCGTCAGCATCCAGGCGCTGGTAGCTATCTTCCTCTGTATCCTCACCATCACAGGTCAGTGCCCAGGAGGATGGGAGGGGCACTGAGGGGGCTGCACAGGAGAAGGAAGAGGCCAGGGACCCAGGCCCAGCCCCGCTTCCAGGCCCTAGTGCAGGCCTGTGCTAGGTGTAAGCTTCACCTCCTTGGGTGCCTAACTGTGGGGATGGCGGAGGACGGGGGGGAAGAAGGGGGGACTCAAGTCTCCTTCCCCAGTTTAAAATACTTTATATATAACATTCACTCATTCAACTGACATATTTTGAGCACTTATTGTGTGCCAGGCACTGTTCTAGGCATTTATTTATATAAAACCTCTTCTGAGGGAACTCGCCGGCGGTCCAATGGTTAGGACTCTTCGCTCTCACTGCAAAGGGGCCGGGTTCAATCCCTGGTCAGGGAACTAAGATCCCACAAGTCACACCTGCTTTGAAAAAAGAGGATCCAGTTCTTCTTTTGGAGAGAAACGGAAAGTTTAAAATTTCTAGTTTAGATTATCGCCAGTGGTTTTCTTTCTATTTTTAGGATTTCTCCAGACTTGATATCTCTTTTCCTCTTGTTTGGGCCTCAGAAATTTTAGGAGCATTTTAGGCCTTGCCTTAGTTTGGGCTCCCCAGGAAGCAGACCCTGGGACCAGGATTGGGGTGCACATGGTTTATTTGAGAGGCACTCCCAAGAAGCCCCAGAAGGAAGAGGGGGAGTGAGACTGGAAAGGTAGGCAGCCGATCAAGGGCAAGGTGTCACACAAGCTGCCACCATGGGACACTGGGGCTTCTTCTCACTGGAGACTGGGTGGCGGCACTCACAGCCCGTATTTTTCCAACGATGCCCACCAGCTGATGGTGGGGCTCCTCCCAGAGGTGTAAGCTCTGCGTTTCACCTGGGGCAGGGGCTGGCCCTCCAGAGGAAGCCCTTGGGTGGTTAGAGGTCACCCTGTGTACTACAATGACAGGACTGACCGGGGGACACGGTGAGGGACCCGCATCGTCTGCTCCAGGCCTTTCCTGCCAGCGGCTTCCCTGAGGGGCCCCCTGGCAGTGCCCCCACTTCTGGGGCTTCCGTGGCAAAGAGTCCAGACCCAGATTTTCCTCTCAATAAAAATTAGTAATAATGATATACTGGCATCACCACCACACACAGAATTGCACTTAACCTCGTAGCCACCTTATCAAATATAAACAGAGCAGAGGAGTCATCACTTCCATTTTATAGGCAAGGAAACAGAGGCTCAGAGAGGGCATCCTGGCTTTTCTTATGTACGGAACAGTTCGTTAAGTCACTCGAGGCTAGAACGACAGAGTCTAGGGATGCTCTGAGCCTACTTCTAGGAGCTCTCTGCCCCACGTGGTCCACTCCTCCTAGGGGCTGGCAACCGTCATGCAGTCACACACCTCAGAGCTTTGAGCAGGGCCAACATCACACCGCTGCCTGATCATGGGACTCTGGGCATGTCACTCAGCTTCCCTGAGCTCGGTTTGCTCATGTAAAATGGGGTATCAATACCTACTTTGAGTAAAAGAACATGAAAATGTGCCAATACCATGCCAGCATGTACACAGTAGGTGCTCAAGAGTAGCTGCTGCTACTGCAACGGGTGCCATGTCCACCAGCACCGCCAAGACCCATCGTCATCATCATGGCTCAGAATCCCTGCACTCCGAGTTCCAACTCCATCCCTTTCCCCATCTCTGCCCCAACCTCTGGCCTCCTGGCCTTTGGACAAGACACAGAAGGATTTGCCACAGTGGTTAAGAGGAGGGAGGAATTGAGGATGCGGGTAGATGGGGAGGAGAGTGGCAGGAGATGAATGAACTTGAGGGAGGCCCGCTCTGTTGCTCTCCCCCCAGCCCTACTGTGGCCAGGACACCAGCAAGGATGGATCCTGGGTGGGGGGTGGGGGGGTGGAGATGACTCTGGAGTGGGAGTGAGGGTGGACCCACCAGGTGTCTAGACCAAACCAAAACTTCTGCATTGGCCCAGCTGTCGCTGGGAGCTGGGCTGGCCCAGGGATGCCCAGGGAGGAGCGGAGGGTGCAGGTAGACCTCAAGGCGGGGGTGTTGGGGGGAGTCCCCCGGTCTGCTGGGCCATGGCTGACCGCCCTGGCTCGCTCGTTCGCAGTGATCACCCTCCTCATCACCCTGCGGCGGCGGCTCCGGAAGCAGGCCCGCGCCCACGGCAAGAGCGTGCCGGAGATCCACGAGCAGCTGGTCACCTATGACGAGGAGGGCGGCGGCGAGATGGACACCACCAGCTACGACGTGTCGGTGCTCAACTCGGTGCGCCACGGTGGGACCAAGCCCCCGCGGCCGGCGCTGGACACGCGGCCGTCCCTCTACGCACAGGTGCAGAAGCCGCCGCGGCACGCGCCTGGGGCGCACGGGCCCGGGGAGATGGCCGCGATGATCGAGGTGAAGAAGGACGAGGCGGACCACGACGGCGGCGGCCCACCCTACGACACGCTGCACATCTACGGCTACGAGGGCGCCGAGTCCATCGCCGAGTCCCTCAGCTCCCTGGGCACCGATTCATCTGACTCGGACATCGATTATGACTTTCTCAATGACTGGGGGCCCAGGTTCAAGATGCTGGCCGAGCTGTATGGCTCGGACCCCCGGGAGGAGCTGATGTATTAGGGGACCGCGGGCCTCTGGGCCTGGGTAGCTCAGGCTAGTCGGACACGGGCACTGAGCCCTCCAATCGTAGCACTCATGTCCCAGCCTAACAGCCCTTCCTCATGGGTCCCAGAGACCTCACCATCTTGGATGGCAAAATCCAAGTCCCTGAAATGTCCAGGAACGTATTTCAGTGATGGCTACTCCCAAAACGCTGAAAAACACCAGGCTGGTGTTCTGTCTGGGCTGAGACATCCACATAACCCTGTCACCTGCGACCACGGGTCCAACTCAGAGACTTTCTCAGTCTTCTCAAAGCAGATTACGCTCAACTGCCAGGCGGAGGTCTTCCCCTGAGGTCCCTGAACCCCTAGTGGGGGGCGGCTGGGGGGGGGGTCCTGGTGCCTGTCACCTGGAGGCAAGGGGCTGGATGGCATGACTGTGGGGCAAGACTCTCTGTAGCCCAGTCCCCCAGGAGACTGGGCCCGCCCCCCAGGCCTGCCCTGCTTTAGCTTCCTCACACCCTCCCAAGACCCCCAGCATTCTGCAGCCTCTCCCCAGGCCTGTCAAAAGGAAGGAAGGGCCTCTTGACATCTCCCGACCTTGGGTCTTGAGGTGACCTCGCTGGCCTGCCATGCCTGTAACTATGCTGTACTGGGTACTGAAAATTCATCCAAGGTCAGGGAAATGGCTCGTTGAACTTTAAAGCAACTGTGAATTCATCCTGGAGGGACAGTGGAGACCAAACGAGACCACAGATCATAGGGTGAGGGCCACCTCCACACCCACTCCCTCCAGAGAGGACCAGGAGTCGCTGTGACCCCAATTTGACACTCACGACACCCCTCCAGTTTTGCCTGGGAAGTAGGGCAGATGTTTCCGGAGCAGAAGACCTCTCCCTGCCTCGCCCGGTCACTCATTCATGCTCTTTCTTTTTTCTTTCTCTCCATCTACTCTTGATCTCTTGACTTAGAGGCACTTAAGGTGTGACCCACATCAACTCTGGCCAAAGTCCAAACCCAAACATGACTGCGCAACACAGCTGTGTCATTTGCCTTTACACCTCGTTGTTGCCACATCTCAGGGAACCCCAGCAGGGCCCCATCCCTACAGAAGGCAAGGCCCCTGCTCAGGCCCAGTGGTCACCTGTTCCTCTTCCACCTTCAGCCACGTACGGAACTTTCCACTGCAAACACACCTTAGGGAAGTGGCATCACTCAACGGGGGTGCGGGGAAGGAGGCAAACTCTCTGACTCACCATTTGTCATGGACCGAGGTTCCTGCTCTGGGCAAGGCCCCTCAATTCAGGGGACTGTAGATAACACTGACTTTTTATTTTTAACCAATAACAAGTTTTTCATATATTTTTTTTTTACTAATAATACTTATACATTTCTAGCTCTCACAAACATATAGAATAGGGTTTTTGCATAATAAGCAGGTTGCTATTTAGGTTAACAATTTTAATTCAGGTTTTTTAGTTGGATAAACAAATTCCTGTAACCTTCTATTTCCTATCATTGTAGTAATTGCCCTAGTGATAATGACTATATATATATTGGCTACACTGGTGCATGGGACATACTGTATTTTTTTATAACTAAATAAAGAAAAATCTTGAAATACTTCTCTTTCTAGAGCTGAGCGAGCTCATGTGAAACACAAGCACATACACCACCACCATCATCAGAGGAACCCAGGGTGCAAGGCGACATTTGCAGTCAGGATTTCAGAAACACACTGCAGGAAAGTGATTGCAGCAGAGGGACACCTAGTCCATCCGGGTCTCCTCTCAGAGCCCCATGCCTTCCCTCAGCCTCTGTACGCGGCCCCCAATCCCACCCCGACTCTACACAGCAGGCAGGGCCTCTGGAAGCTGGAGCTGCCACACATTTTCCAACTGAGAAATGAACCAGACGAGTGATATACATCAGCAGTGAGGGAGGAAATCAATCTAATTAGCTGGTTGACAACAGTGATTGAGCGGCTGCCATTTAGTGGGGTGTGTGGACCCCAACATTGGGGTCCTGCCTGGAAAACCTCACATCCGAAAATGAGAACAGGAAGCCTCTTTGCCAGACTTAGGACTTGAATTGGGTAGGTGGGAGATAAAGCTCACTGCAGCAAGGCCCCCGCTCCTTCGTTTCCTGCAGCATTTCCGGGGCAGTGTGACTCCCAGTGATGAGATTTTGCAAACTGTGCTCTGGATGAACACTTTCCTGGAGCTCTCAGGGGGCAATTTGTCTTAATTCCAATTTTGCTCTAATTTCATTGGGATTTCTTTTTTGAGCCATTGGTTATTTGAAACGTATTGTTTAATTTCCAAACATCTGTGAATTTTCCCAATTTCCTTCCATTATTGATTTCTAATTTCATTCCACTGTGGTCAGAGAACATAAGTTTTATGATTTAAATCCTTGTAACTTTACTGATACTACTTTTATACCCTAACATATGTTTTATCCTGAAGAATGTTCCATGTGCACTAGAGAGGAATATGTATTCTACCGTTGTGATGGAGTGTTCTATAGTGGTATGTTAGTGTTGTTCAAGACTTTTATTTCCACACTGATCTTCTGTCTAGTTAGTCTATCAATTATTGAAAGTCTAATGCTAAAATCTCCAGCTATTACTGTTGAATTGTATATTTCTCCCTTCAACTCTTGTCAGATTTTGCTTCATATATTTTGAGTCTCTGTTGTTACGGGCATATAATCTTATAATTGTTATATCTTCTTGATGGATTGACCCTTTGAGCATTATCAAATGCACCTCTTCACATCTAGTCACAACTTTTATCTTAAAGTCTATTTTGTCTGATATTAGTATAGTCACTCCAGCTCTCTTTTCGTTACTGTTTACATGGTATATCTTTTTCTGTCCTTTTCTTTTCAACCTATTTGTGTCTTTTAATATAAAGTGTGTCTTCTGTGAACAAAACATAGTTGGATCAGGGCAGTTTATCCATTCTACCAATCTCTCTTTGACTGCAATGTTCAATCCTTTTACATTTAATGTAATTACCAACAAGGTAGGGTTTATGCCTGTCATTTTCCTATTTGTATTCTTTGGCTTATGTCTTTTTTGTTCCTCTATTACCCCATTATTGCCGTGTTTATGTTAAATAGATATTTTATAGTGTACCGTTTTAATTCTCTTGACGTTTCTTTGACTATATTTTATGTTTTTTTCTTAGTGGTTCTCCTAAGGATTATTCTTAAAATCTTAACTTGTAACAATCCAGTTAGAATTTGTACCAACTTAATTTAAGTAGTGTACAAAACTTTGCCCCTAATAGATCCACTCCCTCCCTGCTCCTTTGTGCTATCGCTGTTGTACATATTACATTTTTATACATCGTATGCCCATCAACATAGATTTATAATTATTGCTTTATGCAGTTGTCTTTTAAATCATATAGGAGGGAAAAAAGAGTTACAAACTATATATATACTGCCTTTTTTATATAAATGTATTTATTTTATTTATTTATTTTTGGCTGCATTGGGTCTTCGTTGCTGCGTGTGTGCTTTCTCTAGTTGCGGCGAGTAGGGGCTCTTCTTCATTGCAGTGCTTGGGCTTCTCACTGCGGTGGCTTCTCTTGTTGCGGAGCACGGGCTCTAGGCGCGCGAGCTTCAGTAGTTGTGGCTTGCGGGCTCTAGAGCACGGGCTCAGTAGTTGTGGTGCAGGGGCTTAGTTGCTCTGTGGCATGTGGGATCTTCCCGGAACAGGGCTCAAAATCGTGTCCCCTGCATTGGCAGGCAGATTCTTAACCACTGCACCACCAGGGGAGCCCTATACTGTCTTTTATATTTACCTATACAGTTACCTTTATCGCTGATCTTTATTTCTTCATGTGGATCCAAGTTACTGTCTGTTTTCTTTCATTTCAGCCTGAATGATCCCTTTAGTATATTTTGTAGGGAAGGTATGCTAGTGAGGAATCTATTTTATCTGGGAAGTCTTGATTTCACCTTTATTTTTTGCAGGATAGTTTTGCTAGGTATGGAATTACTGGTTGATAGGCTTTTTCTTTCAGCCCTTTGCATGTCATCGCACTGCCTTCTGGCCTCCCTGGCTTCTGATGAGAAACTGAGTGTTAATCTTATTGAGGAAACGTTTTATGTGATAAGCTGTTTCTCTCTTGCTGCTTTCAATATTCCCTCTGTCTGTGATTTTCAACAGTCTCATTATGATGTGTCTAGAGTTGATCTTAGGAGTTCACTGAACTTTTTAGATGTGTAGATTAATATTTTTATCAAATTTGGGAAGTTTGGGACCATTATTTCTTCAAATATTCTGTCTCTTTCTCTCTCTCCTTTCCTCTGGGACTCTCATTATGCATGTATTAGGATGCTTGCTAATGTCCAATGGGTATCTAAGGCTCTATTAATTTTCTTTTTTCTGCTCCTCAGACTAGATTATCTCAATTAACCTATCTTCAAGTTTGCTGACCCTTTCTTCAGCTAACTCACATTTGCTCTTGAGGTCTTCTAGTGTATTTTCCTTTCACTTATTGTACTTTCAACTCCAGAATTTCTATTTGGTTCTTTTTTATACCTCTTTATTGATATTCTCTATTTGTTGACACACCACTCTCATACTTCTCTTTCATTCTTTAGACATGGTTTCCTTTAGTTCTTTGAAAAGATTCTAAATAACTGGCTTAAAGTACTTGTCTAGTAAGTCCAACCTTTGGGTTTCTTTAGGGATAATTTCTATTGAATGCTTGTTTTCTTGTGAATGGGCCATTCTTTCTTACTTCTTGGCATGTCTCATAATTTCTATAGAAAATTGGATATTTAAATAATACAATATGGCAACTGCAGAAACCAGATCCGTGACCCCCAGAGTCTGTTGTTGCTGGGTTTTGTTGCTTCTGCAGTTTGTTTAGTGACTTTCCTAAACTAATGCTGTAAAGTTTGTACTCTTTGTTGTGTGCGGTCACTGAAGTCTCTGTTTGGTAGTGGTCAGTTAGCAATTGGACAGAGGCCCTTAAATGCCTGGAATGAATAAGTCTCTCAGCATTCGCCAAGGTGTTCTGTATTTTGGGGAACTCCTCTGATACTCAGGCAGGCAGTCTACAAATCTGCCTTAGCCTTAACTTTTTGTTGCACAGAGCCTCCAGGTCAGTCAGAGGTGAGAGCTTAGGGCCTTCCCAGGTCTTCTCTGAGAATGCGCACATCCCTGCACATGTGAGTGGCCTTTTAGGTTCCCAGGAATATGCCAAAGTTTTTCAAAGCCCTCTGTGGACAGCTCATGCCCTAACTTTTCCTTTAAGACTTTTGGTTAGCTCCTTGTTTGCCCCAGTTGTTATCATTGCCTCAGGCAACTGTGATGTTAAATGACTGCCACTGATTATTTTCAACAAATGCCCCCAGGAAAAAAGGCTTGCTTGCATTAAGCAAGCTTCAAGCCAGGTCAAATAAACACAACCTTCCAAGGGAGGTCATCTAGGGAACCACCAGATGGGTCAGATGATGACAGTTACCTGGGAAATTGAGCTTTGGAGGAGTTGCAATTCTGTTTTTGCTCCTTCCAGTGGCTTCCAGGCTGCTGATTTTCACTGTTAATTGTGGAGCTACTGGGTTTCAAGGCTACTACAGGACTGGAGAGAGGGGAATGGGACTATGGAAAGTTAAAACACTACAAAGTTCACTATTCTTACCAAGATTTAGCTGATTGTTTTTAATGAATACTCCTTGGATTGTTTCAAGCCTTTGCTTAATTTCCGGAGTTCTGAAAACGTTGATTTTGATCATTTTTTTCCAGTGTTCTCATTGCTTTTATGGAAGAGAGGATTTCCTTATTCTGCCATTTCTGCTGATGTCACCCCCTCAGGATGGTTTTTGTGTTCTATTTTCCTACTTGTCTGAAGTGCCTGCCCTCTGAACTCACAGTTTTCCAATCCCTGGAGCCCATGGGATCTCTTCACTACTTCCTCCTCCAAGAAGCCTCTCAGGCAGTCCCAAATCAGGCAGTCCCTCTCCCTCCAACCCTCCCAGAGGGGCCCAGCTCTGAGCACTTTGCCACCCTGGCCACATCTTCTCTGACTCCTATTTACCCTGAGGCGGGAAGAGTGATCCTCATGACAGCTAAGGGCTCACCTCTCAGTCTGGAACCTTTAGTGGACACCAGGAAAGGGCACAAACCCAGTGCTCCCTGGAATCTGCTTACCACACTGCACACACCTGCTCGCTCCATGGGCCCCCCCACCTGGCCAAAGTGGGCAGGAGCCGCAAAGGCTCTGAGCCCTTCCCCAGTTCAAACCTATGAAGCCAGCATGACCTTCCTCATTTCACAGATGACTAAAGTGAGACCCAGAAAGGGATCTTTCTGGAACTCTGCCTTTCTGGGAAGGCCCCAAGCTCTCTTCTCTGGCTGACCTTCAGGCTCTGTGCAATAAAAAGTGGCCAGAGTCACACAGCGAGTTAAAGAGAGAGTTGGGAGTAGCACCCGCCTCCTGGCTCCCAGGAAAATGTGGATCTGTGGGAGACTTCCTCAGACCTGGGGGCTTGGAGGGTGGACCAAGAAACATCATCCACGCCCATTGTGCTAGTCATGGAGAAAATGACCACTAGGGGGTGCGCGGCCTCAACACGTGCTCAGGACTCGATAG